AGATCCAGCGGGGATAACTCACATCCCCTAAAAAAACTTGGTGATTGCTTTTCTAGGAAACCAGTATTTCGTTTTTGCATTTTCTAACAGGTAAACGGTGTGATGCACCCCCCTCCCGTCTCTTGTTGCTTTCCTTTTGTTTTCTCACCCACCGGCACAACACAGCCTTGCTTCCACTTAAAGTACACTGCAGGGCAATTTAAAAGTATATTAAATGAGCAATTGGCAAGCAGGCAGTAAGGTATGGTTCTTTTATGGTGACAGACTGAGAGTGCACCCCTCTGCCTCATTTGCCTCTTAATTGACCCACTGAGGAAAGGCAGCAAAGCGACCCAGCCATACTATCATATGGGAGGGTGGTAATTTAGAGCTGATTCTCTGCTGGCAGGCTGAAGAGAAAAATAAAGTTTAGAGGAGAAAGTTAAAAGCAAGACAATGACTGCTAACTGGGGAAAGAGCATGTGTTCCTCCTGATCTCCTGTCCCATCAGCAGACCCTCGCAGTGTGAGACGTGTAGGTTATGCTTTGAGGTATGTGTGTGTTACATTTGTTACAAAAGTGTGTGTGCATCGTGAGCTGAGCTGTGTGTGTGTGTGTGTGTGTGTGTGTGTGTGCAGCAGTGCCCTCTCCCTGGTGCGTAAAAAACGCCCATTAATTGAATTCCCCCTAATTTCCCGTCAGCCTGGCCTTGCAGAGCGAGATGCCTGCCTGCCAGCCGAACAACGCCACACTTCAGGTGTGGTGGATAATGGAGGATGACATTTCTGTCCCACCATGCCTGGGGGGCAGCATGTGATACATGGCTTCCTCTATGAAGGTTAAACTCAGCTAACCTGCCTTTGGCGTTTCATTATCCACTTGTTAAATACTCTTTTGGTAATAAAATGATTAAAAATTTTATTGCTTCTCTCAAATGAGGCCTCTTTTCAAAGGGACTTAATGACTTTAAAGATGGATATATGAGTACACGTGTGTGTTTGTGTGCCAGGGTGCACTGTATGTGTGCATGCATGTGTGTGTGTATCTGGACAAGTGCATCTTCAGTTAGGCACGACCAATATGTGGAGACCTAATGAGAGTGATATGCTTTAAAGCGAAACCGCCATTATTCTCAGCCAAACGACCTGGTCCATCATTATGTTTAAAGCAGCAATACCATTCCCTCAGCCAGGGCACATTCAAATAGACATGTTTTACATATACAGCTCAGTCTGTGTCTTGAAATGAAGTGTGGTATTTATGCTAAAATGAATGGGCCGGACTATTTTTACATCACAAGTTAAGCACTGTGGCTATAGCAACGGGACATAAAATATTATATTCAACCCATTAACAGGAACTACAAGCCTCGCCTAGGCCAATATGTCTCCACAGTGACTTAGAAAATCATCACATCCAGTGTCATTTGCCTGTAAAATTAGCAGTAAAGAGCCACTCTCCTGAGCTTTGAGTCTGGAAACAAAAATAAAAGATGGGGACATAATTTAGAGGCAATTGGGCTGTGGTAGCTCAGTGGTCAGTGTTGGTGTCCTGTAATTCTGAGGCTGCAGGTTCAAGCCCAGGTTGTGTCAGGAGGGGTATACAACATAAAACAATTACAGAATCTTTCATGTGAGTTCACTTGTTACTTCCTGTGAAGAAAGTAGCAGCCAAAAAAAACCTCTGACTCCCACCTCAGCTGGGATGTGGTTAAAGCTCTCCCGGAGGTGCGATTTGAAGATCTTTCTGACGGGTTCTTCTGTCAGGCGTTCCCAGCAAACTCTCACTAGGCGTTTGGGTCTACCGGGTCTGTCTGGCATCTTCCTTCGCTATCTGACCCAACTCACTACCAGGTGGTGATCAGTTGACAGTTCAGCTCCTCTCTTCACCCAAGTGTCCAAAACAAACGGGCGCAAATCAGATGACACGACTACAAAGTCAATCGTCGATCTACGACCTAGGGGCGTCCTGGTGCCAAGTGCACTTATGGACACTGTTATGTTTGAACATGGTCATCGTGATGGACAAACTATGACCAGCACAGAAGTCCAATAACAGAACACAGCTCGAGTTTAGACTGGAGAGACCATTCCTCCCAATCATGCCCCTCCAGATCACACTCAATACACACATGTGCATTGAAGTCCCCTAGCAGAATAAAGGAGTCCCCAGCAGGTGCACCTTCCAGCACTCCCGCCAAGGACTCCAAGAAGGCTGGATCCTCTGAACTGCCATTTGGCACGTAGGCACAGACAACAGGTAGAGCCCATCCCCCCACCTGAAGGCACAGGGAAGCCACCCTCTCTTCTACTGGGGAAAACTCCAACACAGAGATACCAAGTTGGAGGGCTACAAGTAGACCCACACCAGCTCGGCGCCTCTCACCATGGGCAACTCCAGAGTGAATAAAGTCCAGCCTCTCTCAAGGAGATTGGTTCTGGAGTCCATGCTGTGCGTCAAGGTGAGCCCATCTATCTATCTATATCTAGTCGGTACCTCTCAACCTCACACACAAGTTCAAGCTCCTTCTCTGCCATAGAGGTCACGTTACATGTCTAAAGAACCAGCTTTGATAAGCCAGGGTCAGAGCGCCAAGGTCCCCGCCTTTCGGCCACTGCCCATGGTATCATGCACCTGACTTGTATGGCCCCTTCTGCAGGTGGTGGGCCCACAGGAAGACAAACCCATGTTTCTTCTTTGAGCTGTGCTCAACCAGGCCCCACGGGTAGACCCAGTCAATTTAGTGAACGAAGGGGCAGAAATGGCTCTTTTGATTGTAATGGCTGCAGACCCGATCTAGGGCCATTTACTAATGTACAGGCAATGATGTTTAACTAATCTTTTTTTGTTAGCGCAACAAAAAAAGTTTCCTTTTTTTATCTTTGAGTGTCGCATATAAAACGTGAAGGCAGGTGTATCTGTGTGGCTGTGTTTGCAGTTGCTCAAAGCAAATGTGTGATTTTTGTTCAGGGGTTTCTCAAATTAGCTGGTTTCCCCGTTGGGTCTTTGGCTTCCAATCAATTTTGTTAGGGTTCATTGTTGTGCTGCTGCTGCCCTCACACACACAAACACACATTTAATAAATGGCTGGGTCCGCCTCCCTTGGGCCAGAGGAGTCTGTGCTGGCCGGTCCATCAGATATATGATGGCAGCCCACTCCGCTCTGCTCCACTGGACCCTGTCCAACACCTGTTCTCCCATCAGGGGATGTTGTGTTGGCGTGGCATGGTTGTGCCACTGTACAGATTGGCACTGCCCAGTTGGGGCAGCACAAAGGATGAAGTATGAGATTCCCAGTGACAAAATGTAAGCTGTAATTAGGAGGGAGGACCACAGTCAGAAATGGTTAGGCATTTTATAAATAAATATTGCATTTTATTTATTTTATTCTCTGAATATATTTGGCGACTCAGTGAACCCTGCTGTTTCCTTTCAGAGCGGTGTACAGTTTCAGATCAAGACAAATGTAAAATCAGACAACAGACGTATTTTTACAAGTTTGAATTCATAAACCTGTTTGAATTTTGAAATGTTTTTGTTTACTCTGTATTTTTATTATAATTTTTTGGGGGATAGAAATAATTACAGAGTTATTATTTGTTAATAAATCAGGAAAAAATATTTTTGTTTATGTAAATTATCATTGTCCAGCACATTGAAAGGTTGACAATCATGTATGTGTGTGTGTTAGCGAAATACTTATCTCACAAACCTCGCAACAATGTCATTTATGAATATTTCACATTGTAATTGCATTTTTCCAAATTAATCAATGTTAATGTCACCTTCAGTTGCACTAATCCAAAGTTTTGACAGTAAAATTTAAAATATTCCAGTAATTTTATTATTGATAAATTACATTTTTATTTATAACATTTTGATTGTCTCATCATTTCCGTTGCTAGCCATGAAATAAATGGTTTGCACTAATGCATCCTATGTAGTATAATGACAGACAAACATATGGCTCCATAATATAAAGATAATCATTCAAATGAACTGCTCAGATTATTGTACAGTACAATAATTTAATGAATGTTTGCCCTTGTTTTTACACTGTAAACACATTTTATTTCCACTAGAGGGCGACGGATACAATTTGCATTAAAAGCTCATAAGATTTTCCTTCTTATTTATTTATTTATTTATTCAAATTTAAATCGGTATTCTTTAAGTTATTAAGACAAATTTGTGATTTTTCTTCTATGAAATCAAAATTCATTAGGTTATCTATTTTTTTACACACAAAAATGACTTTCTTTGATGATCTTCAGCCATCAAAGGCCTTTTGCTTCACATTTGACTGCTTTGAATCGACTCTAAGAACATCCATGTATTTTGCTCATTTTTTCAGATTTTTAGCAATCTTATTTTATTATTTCCTTTCTCTGACTCATTGTTTAGTTTGCCAAACTCATCAGTAACAACTGAGCAGAACTACATTTTGAGCCGACGTTTTAAAGAAGCACAAAACGTTTTGCATTACTGTATTTGAAATACTGCAATTTTCGTAAATAAATCTACATTTAAAGTTGTTTTATAATGAATTTCCAAGTTATGTATGTACAAAAAATACAAAAAACATCTTCTAAAATATAACAAACCTTTGCACATCATTGTCAGTGTTAATAACATTTAACCTGTAATTTTGTCTGTGTACGTTCACACGTTTCCACAAACAGATAAGAAGAAAATCATTTCACACATCCAAACACCAGATTGTTTCAGCGTTGCTCTACAGTTCCTTTACCTCCATCTTGTTGTGACTGGGAATGTTGGCACATTTCTTCCCGCAGCTCTGCTGCCTGTCATCATAACTAACCCTGCCCTGATAAACAGTGCGCTGCTGGACCGTACCACTGCACAGGAAGGAGGGGGGAGGACCTCGCGGAGGATCAGAGGTGATGACACGCGCGAGACCCGACTCATTCTCTCCGTGGGTCTCGCGCCGGCGACATGGTGACAGCTCCGAGGCTCTGCTTGCTAGCCTTTGGAGAAAAGTAGTTCTTCCGCTTCTGTCGCAAGACAACAGAGGTGAGTCGGTCCCGTGTTTTTATTTATTTATTTATTTATTTTAATTTTGTTGTTGTTCTGTAATTAAAACTTCTCCGACTTGTTAAAGACAGAAAACTGACCCTCACTCTCCGCCAGCTCGGTTGTTGCTGATGCTGATAAGAAGCAGGAAATATTCGCGCCGAGCGATGATTCAGACGATGGACCTGTGGAATTTGAAAAAACAAAGTGGCATTGCCAAATTGCTTAAAATTGTCTTAATTGTATATAATAACTCCAGTGTTGTAGTTCTTTAAGGTCATTAAATAAATCTTTTCTCTAATATTATATCATCTTTGTCATAGTTGATGATGATAAAAGGAAAGGGACTTTTTTAGTTTACAAAGTATGGATAAAATCATTTGGTCCTAATTATGATTATAGGGGAGTCTTTCGTTTTTTTCATGCTCAGATTAAAACTTGCAGGAATATTGAAGTCACAGGACACACTTGAAGCCAGATGTTCCTGCAGCTAGACAATACAAGTGCCCAGAGAGTTATGCAAGCTACAGACAGAAGAAACAAAAAGTGCTCAAGGATGTTCCCTGAGATAACAAAATGTCAGGCAGTGCAGACGCTCAGGGAGCTGGAGATATATGGCGTACAGGATGTAGACTGACATGACCTGCAGAAGACAAGGTGTTTGGTGGCACCAACTGAGTGTGTGTGTGCAACTCTTTTTAAATTGTAATTATATGCTTTGTAAAGGTCATGGTATAGATTTTATATATAGGATGCATAATCATTTGTAAAGATTGGAGATGTTGCGCATGGTCTGTGGTCAGCCTGGCTGCAGAGTTGCCTGGGCTGGCATCGATCCAGTGTCTGTTGAACAAACTGTGACTGGAAGGGTTTGCTGTGGGTCACTGGTCAGCGATGCTCCCATCTCAGCATCCACTTTTTTTTGTGTGCGTTTGCTTTGGATGTGTGTGTTAGGCTGTGGCTCACAGAGCATCTGTAAAGCTGGACGTTTTGTTTTTCAACTTTTCATCCCTGAAAGAGATGCTGCAGTGGGTAACTGACACCACCCAACATTCCTTTGCTATTATCTTATCTTTGTGCCACACAAGCATATCCCTCCAATGCATAGCTTCAGAGAACACGACACTGATTTAGCCTCATTAGCCTTAAATATAACAACTGGCTACCCCTTAACCTTCGTCTAATCCTAATCTTACTTTCTTTGTAAAATGTGGACGTTTTTAAAATGACTTGTTTTTTTGTCTGCACGGTGTCAAGTAAACGCATTCAGAGCACAACCTGAGCCAAACACACACCAGCTTTACACATTTTCTGTTTATACTTTATATTCTGGTCAGTGCAATTATATCTCTGCAGCATTCAAGTGTGTGTGTGTGTGTGTGTGTGTGTGTGTGTGCGCCTGGCTTAGAGAAGAAAAAAAAAAGCCAGGGGTTTCTATCTGACCTCTCCCAGCCTGACCTTTCACCCCTCCCTTCCAAGAGAAGCTCTTTGTGTTGTCTGAGCAAGAAACTATAGGTGTGTGTGTTTGGCTTCATGTGTGTGTGTGTGTGCATGTGTAGAAGTATAGGCTGCATCAAAGTCTTACTTAAACATTGTTATCTGGACTCACCTTTGACCTTGTGGTCATGAGACGTCCCTCAAACTAATTCATCCGTGCCCTCGGAACAGAGACTATATTTAAATGTTTGCATGCGTTAGCCAGCAACGGAGCTGTGCTTTATGAAAACAAAAAAGGACCGAATAGTCTGAAAGTTACCTGAATATTACGCTGAAGTGAGAATTTATTAAATGTTTTTTACTTTGACATGTTGAATCCATTTTTTAAATGGTTCATTTGTTACTTAAAACGTTCTACATCTAATACAAAATATTTAATATGTACCACGCCTCTATCCAAATCCTGTAAAGCATTAGAGGAGCGTGTATAAGTTTGAGGGATCCTAAGTGCAGATTTTATCTGTGTGAGGTTGTGTGTGTTTGAGGTTAGTGGCGAGAATCGGGTTCAAGGGGTCATAAACCTCCACAATAGTGTCTCTCTCCCTAGGGTGAAAGAGGGGCAGAAGAAGACGAAGGGGGAGATGAAAGGATCTCCCACTTCCACGTCAAGGAGAGAGGAAAGAGGGGGGAGGAGAAAAAAGATCAACAAAGCTGACATCTCTGCTGCATGCCGTCCCTTTGTGTGGCGGGGGAAACATTCAGTTTTAATATCAGAACTACCTGGAAGACAAATCCAGAGTTTAAAGTGAGCACTCTCAGATTACAGAGGCTGACTTGTTGGATAACAGATTTGGTAGCTGTAGTTGATAGAACTCCCATTTTCTCTGATATTATATAATAATTACTGATTTGGATATTTTACTGAAATTCCTCTTATCATATGATCTGAAATCCTGTTTTTTATTATGATTCTGTAAGAACTGGTAGATTTTTATGCTTCTTTTTTTTTTTCTCCACAGTCTCAGCATTTTCAGTCTGCACTGTCCCTGGTTGTTAAAACATCTGCATGCTCTTTGGCAGAAGGTGTGATTACTTCCTGTCGGTGCTGGCTGTGTTATGACGAGGCTTTTTGTCTCTGCAAGGTGGTGCTAGGCCCTAAAACTCCGCTCCGCTTCTTTACATATGAAAGTGTGGAAACAGAAGGTATGGGCTGTGTGCTCCTCTTCGGAGGAGCTGGGAACAATCTCAGCAACATCCTCACAGGGAACCGTATTTTAAAATGATAACTGAACCTGTAATAAAAAATTAAATAAATAAAAAACAACTTTTAATTTGATATTTTTTGATGAAAACATGACTTTTACATATAATAAGGGAAGTTTTTTAATCATATATTTTGTCTATCCATTAAGCAGGGGTTATCGTAGTCTCTTATTGTTTTAACAGATTTATTATTAAACTTTATAAAAGCTATTAAGTTCTTGATATAGTTCTTTATTGTGCAGGTTTACGCAAAATGCCAGCATCAAACAAGAAAACAGAAAGTCTGGCAGTAAAAAAACATGACTTAGGATTTCTGATTCAGTTTTTTTTTTTTTTTTCTAAGATGCTGCCTGAGCAGTGATTATTCTTTCAAGTTTTAATGTATGAAATACTGATGGTAGAAAATTTGAACATTTATTGCTGCTTGAGGTGTATGAACATTGCTAATCAAATAAATATCCAAGACATTAACAGATGTGGGAGCAGCACGGTGGCGCAACTGGTAGAGCTGCTGCCTCTCAGCGAGCAGGTCCCTGGTTCAAACCCCGGTCCAGGGGCCTTTCTGGGTGGAGTTTGCATGTTCTCTCCGTGCATGCATGGGTTTTCTCCGGGTGCTCCGGTTTCCTCCCACAGTCCAAAAACATGCATGTTAGGCTGATTGGTAACTCTAAATTGTCCCTAGGTGTGAGAGAGAGAGTGAATGGTTGTTTGTCTCGTTTGTCTCTATGTGTCCCTGTGATGGACTTGCGACCCGTCCAGGGTGTACCCCGCCCCTCGCACAGTGATTGCTGGACATGGGCACCAGTGACCCCCGTGACCCAAAATGGAATAAGCAGGTAAAGAAAATGGATGGATGGATGGATGGATTAACAGATGTAGTTTTATGTGGAAAATGGAAACAGTAGTGTTTTTATCTGTGTAATATTACTCAGTGATTTAAATCTGTCCGGACGGATTTTCATTAATCTGATCCTCCGTTTGCTTCTCGGCCAATTAGTGTCACTCTACCAGTTTTTTCAATCAGTCAGGTGAAGCTTGTTGTTGTCTGGAAGCCAGCACAGAGGCTGTCAGACGTTTCAGAAAGGAGGATTACCACTTAATTTTATTGTTTCTCTTCTTGCTGAACCAGCTCATATGTTCTGTTGTTTTCTTCTCGAGAAAACTTTCTGTTTGTTACGTGCTGTTTCGATTTGCTTAAGAGGAACGAAGAACTAGACAAGGAAGAGAAGCCAATTCCGAGCGAAGCACTTGGAGGAAAAGTAGAAAAACAAGGGGAGGGTGTTGTGTCTAGGTCAGGGTGTCCTGACTCTGTCAGTGCAGCTGATTTTATTATATGTTGTTTGGGTCAGTGCCATGAAGCAGGAACCGCAGTTTAGGCCTGAGTGAATCGCTCTCTCTTTGTGGGTGTGGGTGTAGATTTTACTCTTTTTCATTTGCAAAAGTGTGGATGTTTTCAGTGAGCCTGTAATTTAACATTTAACTTTAACGCCTCAGTCTCTCAAAGTACAGCTTATACACAGAAGACTTACGGTTTTCTGAACTTTTTTTCCATACAAAATCAATTTTACATTTGTTGTTTTTCTTTCATTCTCTTGTTCTTTGTCAATATTAACAGTATATTTTTGTAATATAATTTCAATCAAAAGACATTTAATCTGTTTGCTTTAATACACTTTATCAATTGTTTCAGTATAATAAACTAAATTTGTTGATCTAAACCACAGACACATTGTTTTTGCAGGACACCAATGGGGAACTCCTATGCAGGCCAGCTGCGGAGTGCACGCTTTGAGGAGGTCCTGCATAACTCCATAGAGGCGTCGCTGAGGTCCAACACTATAGTTCCTCGACCTGTCTTCACGCAGCTGTATCTTGAGACCGAGCAGTCACTGACACAGGACGGTGCGTTGAATGATTGTTATTTTCACGTCATAAGTTTGAGTCCCAACCTAATATCTCAAATTTCTTTCGAATTATTTTCAAACGCAAAGTTCACAGTTTTCTTGACTCGCACAGAAATCGTCTTTGTTTTTTATTTTTTTATTTTTTTTATTTGATTTTATTCCTTTATTCATTCATTTAAAAGAAACAAAATAAACAAAACAAATTCATCAAAAAGAAAAAGCACTATATGAAAAGTGTGCAGAAAGAAGAAAAAAATTATTATAATATCTGCCCCTTATTTAAAAATAATATAAAATAACTTTAAACAAACAGCAACTTAGGCTTGACCATCTCCAAAGTGAAAACAAAAATAGCATATTAAGCATTAGGCATAGTTTTTGTTTTTTTGACACTACAGTATTGTCATATTTTTGTAATTTAAAAAATATATATGTATTCTTTATTTTTTGACAGCAGTGCAGATGTACAATCATCAAACAGAAATATCTAGTCATCTGCTGTTTTTTATTTTTTTAACAAGGTATCTATGAACTCAGAACAAATAGGGAGAGAGGAAAAAAAAACTTGTGCATTGCAAAATATGCAAATTAATTACTTTGTTTGATCAAAGGAGAGGAAACAAACACACCACCGGATCATTAGTTCAGCACCGGGCTTTACATATTTGACCCATTTAACACACACATGTGACTGGTAATAAATGTGCTTTTCTTGAGACGAATGGAAAAGGTAATTGTTTCCATTGTATAGATCTCATTTACAATATCTATCCTGTCTGAGAGTGTGGGAGGTTCGGGAAGCAACCACTGTCTAGTAAAAGCTTTTTTGCAGGCAGATGTAAAAATATCAACTTATCAGCCGCTCTGGACAAGAAATCACAATTCCCCCAAAATAATTACACAAACTGTAATGGTACATTATGGTTGAGTATAATAGTTGAGGTTTTATGAATCTCTGCCCAGAATGGTTTTATTATTGGGCATTCTCAAAATACATGCCAGTGGTCGGCTTCCTGAGAGCTGCGCAGCCTCCAACATTTAACGCCACCAGGAGTAAAGTTTGCTTTTTGCTTTGGTGTAATGAAAAAGCGAATAAGACATTTCCAGTTAAACTCACGCCGAGTATGAGAGTTAGTACATTTCCATTGATTTTGTAAATGTCTTTTATTTGATTTTCCAACAGGCCATGCAGCTAACGAAGATGAAGACGATGAAGATGGCTCAGAGTCCAACAGTCCACCAATACCGTACCAGATGAAGCCACCGCCTGAGGGGTGCTGCACCACAGACGGCATGTGCACAAACAAACAAATATTGGCAGCAAATAAACAAGGAAACCTTCATCAATCGTCCCGAATGTGACAACCAAATTATTTTAAAAACGTATTCTGTCCTCCTAACAGGCTTTTGTCAGGCGGGGAAGGATCTGCGTTTGTCCTCCCTTGCATCTGATTCCTTGGATGTCCCTGCTGGATTCATGTTAGTTGGGGTAAAATCCCCCTCCCTTCCTGACGGCCTGCTGGTGTGTGCCGTCGACCGCCGCTTCCTGCCTGATGAGCGGGGCTGCAACGCCCTGCTAGGTGAGGCAGGAGACCTAAGCAGAAAATATTTTGGCCTTTTGCTGAAAAGACTAAAAGCTTCAAAAAGTCTTCTTTGAACTCTGAAACAATATCCTTTCATTTACACTTTGGCTTGTGGGATGCACAAACCTCACACACTTAAAATCACTTGGTTTCTCTGCTCTCCTAGGGTTTTCAGGAAACTGTGTGGGCTGTGGAGAGAAAGGCTTTCGTTATTTCACAGAGTTCTCCAACCACATTAATCTGAAGCTCAGCACTCAGCCTAAGAAACAGAAGCACTTAAAGTACCATCTCTGCAGAAACAGCCAGGGTGTTCTGTTTAAAGGTGCTCCAATTTGCTGGAGGGGAAATGGTAAGCGATGATGGAATGTACTGGTCGTCACTTTCACAGTAAAATATCATTTTTCCCCAAAGTAGCTTCAAATGGATCATTCAGTAAATCATTTGTCCAACTTATTTTGGATAAAAGATACAAATATAATACAGTAGTCCCTCGCTACTTCGATGTTCATTTATCGCTGACTCGCTCTATTGCGGTTTTTCTAAATAAGACTGGACACTACACATAATGGCTGATTGATGGATGAGCCGCACGAGCAGCATGGAATTTTTATTTAAAATAAATTATTTTTAAGTATTTAGCACCTGCTGCACCTTTGTGCAGCCCAGAGCTGCAGAAAAAGCTTCCTCCTGTACCTCTGTGCAGCTCATACTGTAGGATAAACTTCCTGCTGCAGCTGATCAGCTGTTCTCCATGCAGAACGTGCGAAGTGGGCGTGGCCGAGAGCGCTTGCAGGCACAGAGCTGAAATCATGACATTCTGTGCTCTTTTAGAGTGTTTAGCATTTAGAAACATTGTTATTGCAAGAGTGTGGGAAGGGTTTTAAAATGCCTTATATATACCTACTATATATATGTACAGTATATATATATATATATATATATATATTTATTTATTTATTTAATACTAAAATAATCTACTACTTAGTACTTGTACTATTATTCCTACTTCGTAGTTTTTCACTTATCACGGGGCTTCAGGGTACAGATCCCCCGCGATAAACGAGGGACTACCAGTACTGTATATATAAAGATAATGCTGGACCACAAACAAATAACAGAAATAAAGACAGCTGATGTGTCAACTTGGGTACATTTAAAATATTCACTTTTAGAGTGAAGTAAATATAAAGTGGCATCACAATGCTCTAACTGTTACTGTGTAACTGTGTTCTCTCCTAACATTACATTAGAAATGAAAGAAGTAACATTTTAGTTGGGGGGTTTGTCCTACAAAATCCTCATACAGAAAACTCTTGTCTTGGTTGTTGCACATCTCTGAGCGTATGGAAGTGACCCGATGGACCGGTAGTCCAACCTCATGAAAGGTGAGACGTCAAGCCTGTAGGTCAGGACCTGAAGAAATATCACCTGGTAAAAAGACCTGTGCTAATGTACAAAGTACTATAACTCTTTAATTTTAACTATATTCTGGTTTGTTTGTTTTTTTATGATAGACTCTCTGTTTGCTCTGTTTATTTTCCTAATCCTGTAGTTTGAGATTATTAGACTGAGAGTGTTTGTTACCAAATTAAAACTCAAAACTCAGCCAAGAACCAAAGATAAATCCAGTAAGGATCAGATTAATGGCAAGTCGGCTGACTGATTTTTACTTGGGTCTGAAAAGAACAAAACATCAACTTTTCCCAAACTTTTACCCCAGTGCAAGACAGTGTTAGGTAAAAGAAAATTAAACAAACAGACTAGTTGCTGCAGAATGGAACAAAAATAGTCTCCATTAAACACTTGCAATCAGTTTTAAATTCTTTCCTTTCCAATCATTTACTGTTTTTTACTCCTGCTCTGCTGCAGTGCTTTGATTTAACTGTAACACTCACTGACCTAGTATTTAAACATGGACTTAACAGTTATTAGGAAAATATGTGGATGATTTGTTCTGTTTTTTTCCCACTCTTGCTACATAAACATGTACCTAACAGCAGGATATGTACTGCTGGAGATTTGCTTTGGTAACATGAAATATAAGAGAGGACGGGATGAGAAAAGTATGTTCTGGAAATCACTGTTTTCTTACGAGCAGGCCAGTAACTGTTGATAAATCTCCCTGAGGACTACTTTTGTGTTTACCTCTTTTCCAACAGTGTACACAGTATTGACACAAGTGGGAAGCAGCATTCTGCTCACCAGATAAGAGTGATGCAGCAGAGACACTTTCTCATGTTGTTTTAGTCCAAAAGATTAGTTTTACTCATAAACTCACCTTGTGACCTTCTGATTAGTTCACTTTTTTAAAGTTTTTGTGCTGATATATAACTAAATTGTGTTTTTCAGATGGCAGGATGAGACAAATAAGGTCAAGTCTCTCAGAAGGACTTTTGGCATCAGACGAACAGCCATCAAGCCCTGCGTTGGCTCACCCATCACACATACCTGGCAGCTACGCAGGTTTGCAAAAATCACACACACACAGACTAGCTAAACTTAGCTAAACTTAATTAGCTAAACTTAAAACTCTAGTCCCTTTTAAAAACGTTCGTCTGTAAACTTGATGTTTTCTGTGGCCTGAAAATAAAAAAGTAAGATTTGCTTTGCATGTAGTCATTTCAGCATTTTATTGCAAAAACACATGGTGAAGAGAAAATTATTATTCTCATGATCTAAAAAAGTTAAATCTGGTCCTCTGGACATTCAAAAACACAAAACAAAGCAAATCAACAAAAAAATGTAGAAACGTTTCGTCTCTCATCCAAGAGACTTCCTCAGTCTGAGGAGCTGTATTCAGCTCAGTCTCTTAAATAGCACCTTCTCAGGGTGGATCAACCAGTTTTGCTGCTGACAACCAAAACCAGCTGATCACATGCTCAAGAAGGACCATCAGCCTAACAAA